CTTTGAGGTCACAGCTAGCTCTGGGGATCAAATGAAATAGTGTGGGTGACAGTGCTTTAAAACTACAAAAGTATTACTTAAATGTTAGCGATTATTATTTTTGAAATTAGACAGTGTCCAAATCCTGTCTACCTTTTTATTTCATATTTTTTTCAATGATACACTTCATTTTAAACAGATACTTCCCAAAAACTGAAACAAACCCTCCCCATGCTCACAAAATGTATTTCCTCAAAACGTGAAGCAAAACTGTCTAATACTATGACTGTGACAGGTAGCACCTGCCATCTTTTTATTTAGTTTAACAATTGTTATTAGGGCAGCTGGGTGACTCAGTGGATAGAGTGCCTACCAGGCCTGGAGTCAGGAAGCTCACCTTCCTGAGTTCAAATCTGGCCTCAGACACTTACTAGTTGTGTGACCCAGGGCAAGTCATTTAATCCTGTTTGCCTCAGTTTCCTCACCTGTAAAATGAGCTGGAGAGGCAATGGCAAACTACTCCAGTATCTCTGCCAAGAAAACCCCAAATGGGGTCATGAAGAGTCAGACAAGACTGAAACAACTGAACAATAACAATAACAACAAAAATTAGAAAGGAAGGATATATGTTTTCTTAGCTTTCATAATAGGGTACCAATACTACATGTACTAATTGATGTACCTTTTCCTAATGGCAGAAACATAATGAGTTTATTCTTAGTTCTTATTTGGTCTGATAGAAACTAGAATTCTAGTTCCTATTCAGGGAAGAAATTTAAAAAAAACAAACATTCGTTAGGGTACTGTCAAGGGTAATATTCATGCTTGTTCAGAATTAATTGGGAATAAAGCAGAAGTTCTTAAACTGGAGCCCATGACCTTGTTTTTTAATGCTTTGATAACTATTTTAATATAATTGGCTTCCTTTGTAATTCTATGCACTTAAAAATATTCTGAGAAGGGGTCCATAGGCTTCATCACATTGCTAAGATGGTCCATGACACAAAAAGAATAAGATCCCCCCAAAGGTTCTTTGGGGCTAGGATGGGAAGAAGTTTTAAAAAGTAGTAGATTTAGAAAGATGGTGGAAAATGAGGTAGATGTTACCAATAGTTTGGAACCTTGAGGTCTCTTGTCAAATGTCTGGATTACTGTAACCTTAAAAGGTCCCTGGTGAAGTTAGGTGAAGCTTAACTTAGGCAGAAACAGAAGAAATATTGCCATTAGGCTATACCACAGTCTACCTGGATATAAGGATTTTGGGAAAGAGATAAAAGCCCCACATGGAGGCATAACTTAGTAGTGATGGGTGAATTAAATTATGTGGACATCGGTTCTCTCTCCCCCACCCCTTTTCTTCCTCCTCTTCCTCTTCTCCCCTTAACTCTCTCCTTTCTCCCCTTACAATCATTTCATCCTTCAAAACGTGAAGAAACCACTGGACCTTTTAATCTGAACCTAATCCTGACCAAAAAGGTATAATCAAAAATATCTGCTGATTGCTTAGTTATGAAGGATGTTTCCCCTTCATCATTTTTTGCAGTTTGGGAAAGAAAAGAAGAAAGCTGAACATAGTTTGATGTGCACCTTAGGTTTTTGAAGAGCAGACTTCAAAAGGGTTCAGAGAAGGGATAAATAGGATCCTATGGACTAAGTAAGCTATGACAGAACAGAATCCAAGAGAGGGGTGAAGCTCTCAAGAATGAAATTCTGAGGTCACAAATAGAAATAATTCCAATGAGGAGGAAAAGGGAAAATGGAGGCACAGGGAACTCACTGACCAACCTAGATTTTAATGAGATGTATACCAAAAAATGGAAGCCAATGCAGGCAGTGAAAGATAAGATCAAAAATGTGGCACAGCCCTCTAAGAATGGTGTCAGGAGCACTTAAGTTCAGAATGAGATGAGGCTTGTTGGGGATGCTTCTTTGATATTCTGATAGTTTTATGACCTCACTGATAATGGCAATACCACTAGTTGTGCAGACTGCATCTTATTCTGTCTTCCAATTAATCCTTTCCCAAGGACAATCCAGCTCAATCTCCAGTTCAGCTCTGGGCCTAGCTCCTCATCCACTTGTGGTGTTTCTCAAATGATGTAAATTAATAGGCCAGTCATAGAGGCTGCCTGTTCAACTGCAGATATGGACAATCAATATTATTTATTCATTTGGTTTGTCCTATGTAAATATAGTTAGGTGGAATTCAAGTTATTATGGACAATGTCTGGAATGTAGTAGGCACTTTTGTGCTTTTTGATTGATCTCATTTAGGAGGTACTTTGATGTAGCAGAACTTTGATGTACCATATTATCTACTAAGAGGACCATCTGAAGAACCTTACCAATCAGAAGTAATCTCCTCCATTGCCTCAGCATTGGACATTCACCATGACAGTGACCAACACCTCTGCTAAGCTAGGTTTCCCTGCTTTACACTTCACTTGATATTTATAATCAAAGTGTTGTTGAACAAAGTTATCTCTATTCCAGCTTTCAAGGGATGTTCTATGATTTTTACATATGCATGAAGACAAGTTGTTGTGTGATAGCCCTGCACTTCATACTGTGTTTTGCTCTACCAAATCATATGTATTTTTTGGTTAATGAAATAATAAACAGTGGGATTATCTACCCTCTGTTCTCTTCAGTCAATTTTATGAATATAATTATGTGGTCTGCTGTAGAATGTCAGTTGCCTTTTCCCTTCGCTTACTTTTATAATGTTGCATTATAAGGCTATTGAGTTCATTTTCAAATCTGGGATTTTTTGATACTATAGTTCTCTGTAGGTCATTATTAACTTAACTGACAGAGTGGAAAACATACACTACAGGTAGCCAGGTGGCACAGTGTTTAGAGTGCTGGACATGGAGTCAGGAAGACCTCAGTTCAAATTCAACCTCAGACAGTTACTAGCTGTGTGACCCTGGGCAATTCGCTTAATCTTTGCCTGCCTCAGTTTCTTTAACTGTAAAATGGATATCATAATATCCCCTACTTTCAAGGTTGTTATGAGGACAAAATGTGTTAATATTTATAAAATGCTTTGTAAACTTTAAAGTATTATATAAATGTTAGCTATTATTATAAATCAGAAGATTATCAACAATTACAATCGTGGTAAAATACATCTTAATTGACAAATGCACTTAGGGCCAAAATTTAACATAAACCAGGAAGGTAACTGATTTTCTAGAGACTCCAAGGCCTAATATTACTGCCTGTCAGCTTATTTCCCAGGATCACTCATAGTAAGGTACCTTGCCAATGATTTGCAATATGGCATCTCATTAAGTATCACTAGGACTTGGAATGGAGAGAACAGACATTTCTAGAAGGTCATTGCTCTCCTTGTCTCACTTCAACACAAAAGTTCCTCTGATCTCTTTTTTATGATGGCTATGATTAGACTATCTGAGTCTGAATAGACAATTTTATCATCTATGTGCTATTTTTGCACTATCTGACAGAGTTAAAACCCCTTAAGTGTGCTTTCTGAATTTTATCTCTTTCTCCCAATTCTCCAGTCAGTTTAGTGCAGTGGACGGTCAGAAGGTTTGGGTTCAAGGTCTAGTTCTGTCAGTTACTAAATATGCGAGCCTTGCTTTACTCCTCGGTAAAATAATGGTACTTTTAACTACCTACCTCACAGGGTTGTTACAATAACCAAACTGATAATGTATCATAGTGTGGTGGTCAGCTAGATGGCATAGTGGACGGTGTTAGATTTGGAGTTAGAAAGACCTGAGTTCAAATATTGCCTCAGGTTCTGGGTAAGTCACTTAACCTTTTCTCAAGCCTCAGTTTCCTCATCTGTAAAATGGGGATTTATAATAGCACCTACCTCACAGGGTTGTTAGTATGTAAATTGTTTTGTAAACTTTAAAGTGCCACAGAAATGCTAGATATTATTACTATTCCAAGCACTATGAAAGGTACTGGGGATACAAATACAAAAGTGAGAGTCCTACCCTAATGAAGCCTACATTTCAATATAATACATGTAGGGGAGTAGCCAGAGAAGGGAATCTTGGTTATAGGGATAGTAAGTAGAGCCAAAGGGCAGTCAACTGTCACACCCTTTTCAGAACCAATATTAACCATGACTTGATCACTGTGCCCGAAAGAAGAGCAAGAGGTATAAAGCAGAGAGGTGGGAATACCCAAGGCAGTATGCATATGGCAGCAGCCTGGATATTTGGCAAGATAGGTCCTGGTTATAAGAGAGTCCATGAGTCCAGAAGCTGCCCTTTCTACAGTGTGACTCTACAATGTAGAAAGGACTGAGTACAATTCAGGAGACCTGGATTTGAACCCATACAGCCACTCACTAGCTATGTGACCTCACTTGGCCATGTGATCTCTCTGGGTCTCAGTTTCTTTATCCATAAAATGATGGGTGTGTCTACTTGATGATCTCTAAAGTCCTTTCCAACGGTAATATTCTTTGACCCAACTCAAAAACAGAGACAGGCTTTAAATATAACTGACTAATGACACAAATCATTCCTAAATACAGAAAGGAAGGCTAGTCATGAATTGAGCTTTTTCAGCCACATCTAATATACAGAATCTATATCACTGGCAAATAAATGATAGTTACCCCCTCCCCAATGTTTCTGTTAGAATTTTCTTGGAACCTATAAGTTCCTAGGACCTGTAACCTGCCAGCTTCTCTCAACAGGGCTGACATTTTAGTGAATCAGATAAGAACAAGTCTTTTCCTAAGATGCCTTAGTAAGGCACTCAGTTAATCCAAGAGGAATATTTTGAAGTTTTAAGGAAGTAGTTGAACAGTGAGGGGGCAAACTAAGGTAGGGAAATGAAGTCAACAAGCATTTATTAAGCACCTATAATGTGCCAGGCACAGTGCTAAGTGCTGGGGATGTAAGGGAAGGCAAAACACAAACAAGCAACAAAACCAGAACTTAAAGGAACAAAGAGATTTGAAATAATGATACCAGCCCTGTTAACAACTTTCATGCTATTCATTAATTAGAGAAAGATCATCTACCTACCTGAGTTTTTGTCAGGTAGTCGATTTATCCTCCACACAATGGAGTTGAAAGCATGCTCATACTTGGCAGTACCCAAAGTTACTCTCATGACTGGCTCAGAGCCAGATATACTGGTTGATCCAAAACTGGCCCCCTTGTTCACTTTGGCTTTTAAAGATTTCTCCCCTAGAACACTTTCCCTCCGGAAATTTTTCACCCACTCATTGGGCACTGGATACCGGATCATCACGTTCTCACAGGGAACCTGGGTGAGAGGGTCACGATTAGAGGAGAAGCCAGTTGACATCCTTAGCCAGCTCTGCAGCTCCACTTCTGCCCCATTGATGTTTGCCACAGTCCTCAGTGTGAAAGGCAAGGTCTTTTCTGCAAAAACTGTTCTAAACCTCATTAATTCAAAGCGGCATGCATCTAAGGGGTTGAACAGGATGATTCGGGAGCTGTTGAACACCTCTTCATCTACGCACCCGTGGAATTGGCAGTTATGAAGTTTTATCCACTTGGTGGTGGTGGTGGGCATGATATCCTGCCGGGAGACTATTTCATTCCCTTTCACAAGGATGTCATTGAGGCCCAGGTGGCACTCTGCAAGTCCAGAGAGAAAACTTAGCACGTGAATATGTGTTAGGACTTGGTGGTGAAGAATCTGGTTGTCTCCATTACTCAAGACTCCAGAGAATTCATCTTTGACATCCACTGTAATCTCCTCTTCTAAATAGTTCAAACCCACTGTGCTTAGGTCCATGGATGACACTGGCAAACTCATAAGGTGGTCCTGAATTGCCCTGATGAAACTCAGGAAGTCTTCATAGCTGGTGGTTCCTAGCTTAATTACTTGCTCCCGTTCAGCCATATGAGTCACAGCTGGTTTAGGCTGGTACTTCTTCTTCTCTTTGTATGTAACACGGTCTATTCGCATGCTGTGGATTCTCCCATTTTCATCATAGTTCTGGAGCTTAGGTTCAGAAATCTCATGGCAGATCTCCAGTTTGAACTCTCGGAACGGTTTCTCCAAGCCCTTCTCATAATACAACTGTAGGCAGCCACTATCTGTGAGCTTTACATAGATTGGTCCCCAATGCCTGGAAGACATAATGTTCTTCTTTTCAGGGATCCTTAGCATCATGGGCCAACCATCTCTGGGCCGAGATAGGGCTGAGCTCTTCAGCTCCTCATCCAGCCCACCCCACGATGCTGGGTCATCATCAGGTAGAGTGGTGCTACCAAGGTGATCGGGATCCCCAATCTGTAGTTGTTTGAGCTTCTCAACAGCATCAGAGTGTGTTCTTTTCTTGACTGAATCATCAAAGGTGATGGCATCTGACTCTTGATGTATAACAATGAGAGAATCCCTTTGGCTTTTTCCTGTGGTATTGGAGATGGAATTATTGTGGGAACGTCTTTCCTGCTCCTCAAAGAAGGCACTGAAAGGGTTAATGGGAGAAGGCTGCACATCCCTCAGGGTCTCATTCAGGAAGGGGTTGGTTGCCCTCCAAGGTGGGGGCTCATTTATGGAAGGTGATTGGTTTAAGGAGGAAATATTTAGTTTTTGAACTTTTGAGAAGTCTACCAAGCTACTCTTGGGACGTTCTCTCTTAAAGGATTCAGTTAAGTTACAATTCACATCTTGGATAGGAGATACAATGGATGCTGGGTCTGGTTTTAAAGCACAGGTGCTTTGTGGCAGAGGGCAGCTGATTTCATTGTCATCAAAAGTCACCCAGCTGGGGAAACGAACTGAGGTCACTGGGGTGGCAGAATGCCCATTCATGACTGGGCCACTAGTGTGCCAGCTGATGGTTTCCATCTCTACTTCTTCATCTTCCTGGAGAGAGGAAGAATTGTCTAAAGGAAAAATGAAAAAAATATAAAAATGATGTAGACATTTAATAATTATTTTCAGGATAGGGAAACTGATAGGATAAGAAATAAGGAGTTACTAGACTTTTGTTTGGAATTTATGAAATTTCATGGTTACTTATTGCTCACATGCTTAGGTGTGTGCCTAATCTTGACAGTGACTACAGATGTGCAATATGTGATGGTTTCTCATTTATACACTTACTAGTTGTGTGACCTTGGGCAGGGTGTGTACACGTATAGTAAGTGTATATATGAGAAGTCATCACATATCACAAATTTACCACTACCTCCTTTTCCTCTTCTATAAAATGGATACAAATAGCACCTATATCATAGGGTTGTTAAGGATAAAACGAGATAATATTGGTAAAGTTCTTAGTACAGTGCCTGGCATATAGGAGATATTTAATAAATACTTGTTCCCTTTCTCTCTTCAATACCTAAGTAGCGCTGAGAATTGGAATTATTCATTCTGGGAGCCTTGACAATATTACTACTAAAGCAACAATATGCTGCCACTCAAAAAAGATCATGCTGGTAGGAACAAAGTATCTCAGAATTGCATTCTCATAGGTTGTCCTTTGTATTTTACAAAGTGCTTATGAAATAAGTACTTTATTTTCCTTAATAAATTCAAGTTCAGAAGGTCAAGCTTCTGAACTCTGAAAATGATCTTCTTTGCAAGTGGGCATATTGAAGAAACCAAATTTCTTGTTCAGTTATACTGGAACTGTCTATGGCCCTCAATGCAACATTCCCCTCCTTATGCCTCCCACTCCCCACTGCTATTCCCTATCCTCTCTCCTTTTTTTTCTGTTCTTTTCTGGACTGACCTTGCTGGAAAGTGGAATAGAAGCCATTTATGTGATATGATTTAAAGTGGTACCAAAAGTTCCTTCTGCCTAAGGAAGTTTCACCTACCTCTGGCCGAAACACTTCAAATTTTCAGCCTAGAATATCACTTTGGATCACAACTGAAGACACTTGGTAAAATATAAACATTACCAAAGAGAGGTAACATGTTTAAACTGAGAGTAGTTAATAACACCTTGACACAAATTGTGAGATTAGTTAGTGTATCCTGAAGAGTCCTGAGGAAATGAGGCAATAGATGAAAGGAAAGAGGCTTTGGACTGAAAGAGCACCATAGAGGAGACATTAAAAGACAGGAATGAAAGTGGCACAGGATGAAAACAAGCCCTACCCGCATCACAATTCTTCCTTGAGCCAGCACTGGTCCTACCTTTCCAGTACTCTAGTGAGTGCTGTGGTTTCTACTGTGGTCATCCAAAACACTCTACTGGTGATGACTTAGGATTGAAGAGGAACAGAATACAACTAGACTGCTAGATATCTGAAATGACTGTAGTAGTGCAATAAATATTTTTTTAAAAATAACTTGTTATAGCTTCATGGCGAAGGATATCTAGCCTCACAAATTTAATAGTATAATATACTATTGGACAAGATTACTGTTTTCACATTCATCCTATGTGTGGGTTTTGTTTTGTTTTTTGAGATTGGGTCTCTTTTGCTTACCATGGCTGAAAATGTAGTAGCCACATTTAGGTCAATTCCAATACTGTTCGTCGCAGAAGCTTTAATCTGAGTTGGTTTATCCCTCCTTACGAAGGCTAGCGACCCTCCCTGGGGGCTCAGAATTAAAGCTAGTCACTCGATTAACTTCAGCCCTATTTCAGTGCAGAACTTATGAGCTCCAAGAATCAACCAGAAGCCTTAGCCAATCCCCATGGCAGGGATGATAAGTATATGCCACCACAGGCCATACACTGGTCTTTCAAGTCATACTCACTCATTTTTGTGTCTAGGTAGCAATTGCCATCAATAGTTATTTTTGAAAGTAAAAACTGGTACACATACATGTACATAATTTATACATCTATCAATCTAAATATATACACAATAATGAAAAACAATATCTAATAATCGTGAAATCTTATAAGAATTACAAAGTATTTTAAAATAAGGCCTAGAATTCCTGTGTGATGTAATGTTATGATTTGTCTCATTTTTTCAGCTGGATATGTAGAAACCTTGGTTATTGTGCTCTCCAAAAGGTATACAAATAGGAAAAAGAGCTTGGGAATCAAAGAAAGTTATTAGTTCCTAGCTTTCTGTTTTAAAGCCCTAAATAGAATTCCTGGGTCTACCATAGCAGTTTCATTGACCAATAACTTAACCACTGTGGCTAGGAATCTCAGAAACTAGTGTCACATTAATGAAAAGTACAAAAATAAAAATGCTTATAGATTTCATGCTTTTCTTCATGTCTTCTTTGTCTCTTAATCCCAGTTTCCACCCATCAGATCTCACATTACTTTATAGCCTTTGCCAAGTAAGTGGTCACACCCAGTTTTCTAGGGATTTGTCCCACTCTGTTGAGCTTGAGGCCACTCCTTTGCTTATAGATTTTCAAAAGCAAGATTAATCTTCCTTGGGGGGCTGGCTTACTGATGATGCTATGGATAATTTCCCTAAAAGGATTACATATATGACATGACAAGTGATTTGTGAAAATCTCATTCATGAAAACAATTTTCCATCTTTCCTATTACATACTTTCTGAATATAACAAAAAAAGTCCTCCATTTCAAACTGAACGAGACTGTAAAACAATGTTATCCACTGTAAAACAAAATTTCTTTAAATGTCACCAAGTAATAGGTTCCACTGAAAAGTTTTTTGACATCTTACAATTTTAAATGTAGCTACATCCAGGTTCAGTGTGGCTAGTTTGGGATAATTTCAATTCATGGGCCTGAGCCCCCATCTGATGTATTACTCTTTTGCTAGACCAAAGACACATAAATCCAATAGCAAAAACATTTAATTGACACAAAACAATATAAACAACAAGGAAGAGAAACAAGTTGGCAAATATCTGTACACATACATACACAAAGGGCTGACAATCACCTGTTCCCCCCAGGGAAGTTATAATTTAATTCCCCTTCAATCCCTCTTCTCTGGCACAGTAACAGAGGACAGCCACTTCAGAACTCACAGTCTCGGTGGGAAATGCCTAGAGTGTTGTGTTGTCTGCCTTTGACAGTATCTTTCCCAGGATTCCAGTGGGGTAGGCTGAAAGTTTAAAGTCCTCACTGTGAATCAGGAGTCATCATGGTCCATAAGTGACATTAGGATTTGGGGACTCCATGGCCCAACATTCTATGCGATCTCTCCCACTCCTGTGTGCTTATGCCTCCTTCTCTCTTCGGTGTGCAGTCGTGCTTTTTAAGCCTCTTGCCTTGTAAAGCCTCCTTATCAAACAGGGTCCTTCCTGGTGACATCACCATGGTATAGGCTCACACAAAGACCTCTAGGAGATGCTCTCTTGGCCCCGAGCATTGTAAGAAATTAAGTCCCATGCAAAGCCTTTACACGAAAAGTCTCCTGAAACTTAGAGGAGGAAATACGAATGGTTTGTTTATTTTTGAGGCTTATGCCTATTTTTTTCTTTAACTGACATAAATAATCATGTCCTTTGACAGTTTCACTCCTTCCTATGAGCTGACTGAAACTCAACTCCTATCTTTGTGAGGTCACAATCAGCCCAGAACAATAACTTGGGATGTCCTTATCTAAAGATCAGGATGTTCAGTTGTTAAATAGTCAAAGTAAGTGAAACTTCTGAAGAAAAGAAAATCCATTCTCTCATGAATGAGTCTTGGAGAGGCGTTCTTTTTTTTAAATGAAAAAGTGCCTCAAAACTATCTACTTCTTATTACAAAACTACCCTGCTATTTAATAACAGACATTGGTTTGCAACGTTCTTTAAAATAAGCCATTCCTTGAGGCAAGGATGAGGACTTCCAAGACCTTCAAGAAATTACTAGTAATTCCTGGGAATAAAATAAACAGTTCTGACATAGGCTACCTGGATACAGCAGCTTGTTAGAATCTCCTTATACGTCTAGGCCTGGTAGAGGAAAATAGTAGAGAATGAAAATGAAAACAGGTCAGAAGATGGCCATTCCCTTCTCCCTCAGAGGAAATCAACCTAAAATGTCTCTCTTCAGAACTAAGCCACAACTCCACCTTATTCTATTTACATATTTATTCCATAATCACAACATTTTAATCATCATCTGTTCCTTCCCTTCCTCTCCATGGCTCCCAAATTCAGCTTAATGTGCACCAGACTGCTAATGAGTACTAAAGATGTGAGATGTCTACTATAAAGTTATTGCTCCAGCCTCAACCACTCAAGCAGGTTCTACTGACTTTACAGATGCAACTCCAAGGGAAATTGGTGGGAATATTCAAGCTTAGTCAGGATCTGTTAAAAGTTTATATTCTTTCAAAATAAAATCAAGTGAGACATTTAATTGTTTTCAAGTCCATGAAGAATCACCAAATGTTTGAGTGTCTACTAAATGAGCAAGGCAACATAAAATCCTGTATGGTTTCAGAGTCCTCAGAGAAATGGCAGGTAGAGAAACCTAATTGTCAGATACTTGAGTGATTGCAGATCCCTTGAAATTTAAAAAAAAAGAAAGAAACTACAAAATTAACCATTCACATGGAAAACAAGCTTGTACTAGATTACTACTTATTTAAGACTCACAGGATGACAGAACTTTAAGAAATATTAGAAGTTGCTTAGTTCAAATCTCAGGGGTAGGACAAAATATTTGTCTGTTCTTGGCAAGGTCTGAAAATTAATTCTCTTGTGTATTACTGTCCACCTGATGTTTTGAGCTTCATTTTTGATATGGGAGTAATGCAACTGTATGTTCCAGATTTTCCAAGACAATCCTAATTTAAAGGAAAAAAAAATGGACTTTTAAAATGCAGTTCTGAAAAATAAATGCCATTTGCCAGGTCATGTGTCTTGATTTGGGATTTGGGAAATACTGTCACTATATAGGTGCTACCTGACTTATCAAAAAAAAATACCTGGCTGTCATGAAGATCCAAATTTTCTCACAATAAAAATGCATACATTTGTTTTTGAAATA